CACCTCATCTTAGCACCAGGAGAGCCCCACCCCCTTTGGAGCCCAATTTCCCCGATTGCCAGTCCCTCCTTGGAACCCCCCACCCGCACACACTTCCCTGTCCCCCAGCCTTTGAGCAACTCCCTCGAGCTGTACCCCAAGCCTCCGTCCCCCGCTGGCAGGGGGTAGGGGTGCGTGGAAGCAGCTGGGGGTCCTCACCTTCTCCCCTCCCCAGACTGGGACACAGAGCGGAATCTGAGACAGCTAGAGGACTCTGCTGCCCGCAACGGTAGGTAGGGGAGGCCGAGCGGAGGCTGGGACACCCTGCTCTTGTCCCCTTTCTACTGCTGACACTGGGGACGGCCCCTCCCTGGGCCTCAGTGTGGCCCCATGACGCCCCCCTCCCCGCGGGCTTGGAGGCTGCCCTGCTRGCCTCGTCCACTCCTCTGCCGTGTGTCCCTGTCAGCCGTGGCCTGCWCCTGGGCGGGGACTTCTGCATTTCCCCCTGGTGAGGGGAGGGTCCACGGGTCCCTGCTCTTCCTGCTGCGTCTCCCTGAGTATATGCCCRTCTCCCCCCAAAACCCTCGAGAAACGAAAAGCCACCGTCAGTGACGATGCGGAGGAGGGCCCCTGGCTTCGGGGGCAGGAGGGGGTCAAGGCCCCGTCTTTGTAGTTCCTGAGGTCGCTTCTTCTGCCCCACGCCCCAGTCTCTCAGGTTTCCAAGGACCTGCACAGATACCAGAGTGACCAAATGGCCCAGAAGTCCCAGGGTGAGCCTCTTCTGGATGGGGGCTCGGGATGGGGGAGGATGGGGKCTTGGGTGGCTCTGCACACACCACGGCAGGGCCCCGTGTGACCCCTGCCACACCTGGGGACTGAGCAGGCAGCCCTGAGGACCCAGAGAAAGAGGCTGGGAGCAGGTGGGGATGTGGGAGGCTGGGGACTCAGGGGCCGCTTCTCTGAACCAGCTGCTCAGCTGTCGCGGAACGTGGAAAGACTCCAGGCCCAGCAGACGCAACTGGAGTCTCAGGGTGAGAGACGGGGCAGGGGCCCRGGGCAGACTGTGGGAGGGACAGCCCCAGAGCCACGGGGGACCAGGCCCCTAAGCATCGTCCCCCAGCCCTGCCCTCTTACATCCGCCAGACTCYGAGCTCTCCTGGAACCTGGACAGACTCCGAGCAGACCTGAGCGACAGCAAGTCCCAGAGTGAGGCTTGGGAAGGTCGGGGGGGGGGGGGGGRACCCTGCCACTTGTCCCTGAGCACCGCCCCCTTCCTGTCCCCCAAGGCTTGAATGAGAGGCGTGCCGCCTCCGACTCGCTGGAAAAGCTCCAGGAAGAGGTGGCGAAGCTGTGGATGGAGATACTGGCGTCCAAGGGTGAGTGGGTCTGGGACCAGTGGGGGCACGGTCACTGTGCTGTGCTGGAGACACACATGATGGCTTGTATGCGTGTGCCTGTGGGGTGTCTGTGTGTCTGTGCAGCAGTGTCTCTTGGGGACACAAGGGGTGTGTGCGGCAGGGTTTGCCTGGGGATGTCAATGGGTCAGGGCTTGTGGAGGAGRAGGGCAGCTGAAGGACAGAGATGCCCCTCGCTGATTCAGGGCTCCCAAGCCTTTAGCCGGCTCTGGGTCAAATCAGTCCAGGATTGGCCCCTACTGGGTTCCCTTTTCTGCTGTCCTGCCCACCCAGGGGGCTCAGTGGGGTGGGGTGGGGGCAGACATCAGCAGGATTCACTCCTCACGCACCACCGCAGCCCCCAGGTAGACTGACCCGTCCAGGGAGAGGGAGGGGTCTTGACCAGGAGGCCAGCAGGCTGCAGAGAGCCTGGTCTGCTGTCAGCCCCCAGCAACACCCCTGCCCTCCATCTTCCCTTTTCCACCTCCGGGAGGCCCCGCTGCCCCCCCCCCACCCACCCGGTAAAGAGGAGGAAGGACCCTGCTTCAGAAGAAGAAGTCCCAGGCCCCAGGGTGTGGYGTGGCTCTGGGAATCCCAGCAAGAAACCCCTCTGTGGTCCCCTGGGGAGGGTGGCGGATGCGGGGCTCCAGGTGGTGCTACCCCTGACCCACCTCCCCACTTCCACCTCTCCTTGAGGTCTACTCCCCGCACCAGGGATCTGGGCCCTGCTCTGACACTGCCTCTGGGTGACCTTGTGGTGACAGCCAAGACACCTTTCCTGAACTTTTCTTTTTATTATTAGTTTTTAAATCGACATGGGGTCTTGCTACTGCTGCCCAGGCCCACCTGGAGCTCCCAGGTCAAGYRATCCTCCTGCCTCAGCCTCCCAAGTTGCTGGGGCCACAAGCCCACATCACTACGTCCAGCCCTAAGGCTTTCTCTTCGGGCCTGGAGTTGTTCTCTTCCCATTCAATGCTGTGCCCACAGAGGGCTGGGGACTGGTTGCATTTCCAGCCCAAGCCCCCTCCCCATCTCCAGAGCCTTCCCTGCACAACACTATAAAAAAGTCTAGTTCAGGACTAGAGATGAGCCCCCTGGTATAGCGAGTGCTCAGCATGCATGAGACCCTGGGTATGATCCCAAGCACCAAAAGAAGAAAGAAAAGTGTGTGTGTGGGGGGGGGGGGAGTCTACTGGAAAGCAAGAGAGAACCAGCCCAGTAACGGTAGGCCTAAGCTCCCACCTTGGAGTCCTGGGGACCATGACTGTTTCTGAGGGCTTCCCCGGGGTGGGGAAAGGGRAGAAAGAGACCAAGCTGGCCTCACACGGGCGCTTGGGGACTGGCGCTGAGGTCCCTTCTCCGTCCATGTACCTCTCAGCAGAAGGAAGCCAGCCATCTTGGCTCCCCAGAAAGGGGCCAGGAGATCTGGTCTGGGGGTGCTSCCAGTGATGGTGGCCACCGCTGTCACTGGAGCTGTTTGTGGTGACAGAGCACAGGGCAGCRTAAAGGTGGCCAGGTGGGTAAAGGTGGCGTCTGCTCTGGTGTGGGCCATGGAGACTGTTGCTGTGGCAGCTGGTGCCTGTGGCAATGACATTGGTGATGAAGGGGCTGCTGACCTTGGAGGGCGTGGGATGAGAGGGACGGTGACCACGGCCCTGCTGACCCTGGAGGTGTCCGTGGTGATGCTGGTGATGAGGTGATGCGGCCATGGCGTATCTGTGACGAAGGCGGTGGTGATTAATGTGCCCGGGGAGGGGTTTGTGGTGGTGATGGTTGGGCTTGTGTTATGGCCAAGGTGTTGGTGACCACGGGTTCACGTAGAGTGACGATGCCATGGACCAGGGTGCCTCTGGCTGTGAGGTGGCGTGGGCTGGTGTGCCCTGTGTGCCCAGAGTGTGTGCTCTGCCGCGTCAGAGCCCAGTGAAGAAGTCAGCCTGCGAGACTGTCAGGCTCTGGGGAGGACCCACAAGTGGCTTCAGGGGACATCYACCCTGCCCACTGTGCCCACCGTGCCCATCATGGTGCCCACCGCCATGCCACCCTGAGCCTCTCCTCTGTGTGCAATCCCAGGCACCACGTGCAACACGTGCCCCGAGGGGTGGCTCCATTTCCGACAGAAGTGCTACTACTTCGGCCAGGGCGCCAAGCGCTGGGTCCAGGCCAAGTTCACCTGCGACGACCTGGAAGGGCGTCTGGTCAGCATCCACAGCCAGGAGGAGCAGGTGGCCTGGGCTCCGCTGAGGCTGGGGCAGCAGGGTGGGGGGCGGGCATGGCACCCCAGCCTCCTGGAGTGAGCGGGAGGGACCCGGCCCATCTCCAGCCTGGYCCTGCCTCCCAGGACTTCCTGACCAAGCATGCCAACAAGAGGGGCTCCTGGATTGGCCTCCGGGACCTGGACTTGGAGGGGGAGTTTATCTGGATGGACGGGAGCCCCCTGGGCTACAGGTGAGAGGGGGCCTTGGGGGACAGGTGCGGAGGTGGGGGTGTCCCGGCAGGGCCTCGAGGAGGAAGCCCGCCCAGAGTGGAAGGCAAGCCTAGGCTCAGGGCGAGGCTGAGCGGGGACAGGGGAGGGAGGCCAGTCACAGACCCAGAAAGGGGAACCCGGGACAAGAAGGGAGGACGACGGGGGCGGGCCCAGACTCAGGGGACCTGCCAGGGGCCGGGAGGGGCTGCCACCCTCTGACCCAAGCCTCTCCCCCCAGCAACTGGAATCTGGGGGAGCCCAACAACGGGGACCAGGGCGAGGACTGCGTGATGATGCTGGGCTCGGGCAAGTGGAACGACGCCTCCTGCCGCGGCGAGCTGGACGCCTGGGTCTGCGAGCAGCTGGCCACCTGCGGGCCACCCGCCCCCTCAGCCTCTGGGGATGTGCTGGAACCTGCACCCACAGAAGGGCACTGACAGACCCCTGCCCACCTCCCCCCACCCCCACCTCGACCCCAGGAACAGCCRAGCCCAGAGTGGGACCCTAAGGACCCCCAGCAAGGCCTGGGTGCCACTTTGTGGCTAAAAGTTCCCTGTGACATCCCTCCCCAAACTGACCCGTCCCTGCTCCCRTCAGCGCCCCAGAGGGCCCGTCCCTTGCTCTTCAGCTAAGCTGGTCATCACCACTTCCCGCCTTCAAAGGCCCGGTGCCCCCAGAGCCTGTGCTGGCCATTGGCAGGATGGAAGACCCTCGCGGCACTGGTACAGACTGGCAGCCCTGCCACCCCGGGCGCTGCGGGGGACACGGGGTCTTCATCTGTGTGCTTCATCTGTGACTCCCACCCCATCAGAGTGCCCTGTCCCCTCCCCTGTCTTCAGCACCATAGTTAGGACAGACCCCAGCTCAGGCAGCCAGGCCTGCTGCCCGGCCGGCCTCGGGGGCCCCTGCTCTAGTCCCTGCCCCARGACGGGCTGGGACTGGTCTCCACAMTGGAAACCGCAGACCTGGTGCCCCAGGCCACCCGGCTGAGGAGGATTTCATACCTCCCTGCCAGCCTTCTCTTCCTTCACCACAAGAAATATGCGCTAGGTGAGGCCTGGAGACAAGACTGCGGGTCCAACGACCCTGGAGATTTATAGGTCAAGGCAGCGGACCCCCAGCCAATCCCCCCACCCCAGGGCCCCAGAGGGAGGGCACAACTGAGGCAGGGGCAGTGTCCAAACACGGCTGGTGCAGAGAAGGCGCTCACAAGAAAGCGCTCACAAAGTGCTCTCTGGATGGTGGACAGGGAGGGGACCTGGTGACTCAGGCCAGTTCACGTCTGGAAGTGCCCGGGAGGCTGAGGCAGCAGAAGGTGGACCCAGACTGACAAGGCTCAGCCAGTGCCAGGGACAGAGGGAGGAAGCAGGTCAGGATCCCAGGTCAGGCCAAGGATGGGGTCCCCTTGGCCTCGGCTTTTTCCCTGGAGACCCCTTCCGCGTCTGCARAAATGCCTCGTTCAGAACCCGCTTCCTTCTCACCCTGCCGCTGCCTTGGTCCTGCTCCACCCTCACCCCCTAGATGGTCTGTTCCAGCTCCAAGTCTTCCCTGCTCTTTTCGAGATGGGGTCTGTGTTGCCGAGGCTAGCCCCAAACTCCTGGGTTCAAGTAATCCTCCTGCCTCAGCCCCCAGAGCAGCTGAAACTATAGGCACACGACACCGCACCCAGCTCCAGTCTCCCTCTTCACTGTCCCCAAACCTTCCATAAGTTTCCCGACAGCTCAGGGGAAAAAACAAAGTCCTTTAGGTTCCCTGTATGATGGCAGAAGCCCTCACGCTCCCCCTCCCCACCTCCTCACTATTCCCTGGACATGTGTGCTCGCCCACCTCAGGGACTTTGCATGAGTTCCTCCTGCTCAATCCGCCCTCCAAGTTTTTGCTCTCAGTGGGGCTTGTCCCAACTCCCGCACCCACCCCCAACTTAAAATTGTAACCCCTGAATGGGAGTGCAGCTCGGTGGTAGACGCACCTTACATGTGCGAAGCCCTGGGCTCATCCTCAGCACTGCAAAATAAATAAATAAATTGCTCTCTGATGTTTCTCCCACTCTCAATTAGAATGTGAGCTTCGGAAGGGCAGATACCTTCATTTCCTTCTAAGCTGTGTCTCCTGTGTCTGGCTTATAATAGGTGGTCAATAAATATTTGTCTAATAAATATGAATGACCATGGACAAATGACCTCTCATGGACTCTGCTTTGTAGCCCATGAAATGATGATGTGTCTTGCGTGGCTCACCACCGACTGGTGCTTGGCTCATCCTCCTTCCCCTACCCACCAGTCTGGGGGCTCCAAGGAGYTTACTTGCAGCCCAAAGCATCCTAAGTCAGAGCTGTAGTGATCACAAGCTGCCTCCCCTTCTACTCTCGTCCTGAACAGGGACCAGCTCTGCATCCCACATCTTGTCCACACTCCTCTTCAGCAGGAGCAGCAGACCCTGGGCCCTCCATTCCCAGTTGACCACCTCTCCCATCTTCCCTATTTCTCTCTGGCATCCTCACTGCCTCTTGGTGGACCTGGTTGCTCCGCTTCCCCTCCTGCCTCTTGCTCCTGCAATCTGATCACCTCCTCTCCAGCAGGCCCTGGAAGCCACTCTCACCAGGGTCCCCAGGATGTGATTGAGGATGCTAAGCTCAAAAACGCCTGCATCTCCCTCCATACATACCCACCTCCTGTTTACCAAGACTCCAGCCCCTGGTCCTTCCTCCAGGTCTCTGGCTTCCTCTCTGCACCAGCCCCAGACCCCTCTCCTGAAATCAGGGATCCCAACTCCCAGACAGGTACACCTGTTGGCCTCTTAGATTGACCCCACCCAAGCCCTCTCCCAGAGTCACCCCTGCCCCAGACAACTATTCTGTGACCACCTGTGCTTCAAGATTCAACATTTTTGTTTTTCCAGTGCTAAGGAATGAACCCAGGGATGCTTTACCACCGAACTACAACCCCAGCTCTTTTATTTTCATTTTGAGAAAAGGTCTTGCTAAGTTRMWGAGGCTGGCCTGACACTTGAAATACTCCTGCCTCAGCCTCCTGAGTTGCTGGAATCACAGGTGCATGCTACCGCACCTGACTTACTAGTTTTATTCATCCTATTGACTCCACTTTCTTGCTAACATGCTGGAGGCCACCCTGGTCTGCCGCCTCTTGCTGGGATGCTGGAACTGCTCTCTGACCAGACCAGTGTCCCTCAGTCATGGGACAGCTAGATGGAGCATCTAAATAGCAACCGTTCAGAAGTCACTTGTATGGGTCCTGGCAGTRGGGGCAAAAGGAAGTGGAGATTTGGCCAAAAATCAGGAGGATGCTTCCTGGTGAGAAAGAGGGATCAGTTGGTAGGCAGAAGGGAAAGGAAGGCTACTTGTGCGATCTTTTAATTTTTCAGCAAGAAAAATATTGGTATATCAAATGTATTTAAAAGTAAAACATTTTAAGTGTCAAGATGACTTTAGACTCCCACCCCCCTTTTGAGAGACAGGTCTCGATAGCCATGGATCTCGAAAGTGCAGTTCCGGGAGCTCAAGGAATGCAAATTCTTGAGCACACCACAAACCTGCAGGATCTGAGACTCTGGGGGTAGGCCCCAGCCAGTTGTTTTAAGAAGCTCTCCAGGTAACTCTGATGTCCTAAAGCACTGCTTCTGAAACTAAGGTACACAGGGGTCCCCGGAAGATTCTGCAACAGTTTAGATTCTGATTAAGAGATTTTGCACTCTGACAAGAGCCCAGGTGATACTAGTGCGCGGGTCCCTGGACCACATTGAGTAACAAAGGTCTAGGGGTAGAGGGAACAAGCACTCTTACCCTGTTTTAAGGGCACACAGCCACACCCATTCCTTTAGACTGTCAGCAGAGTGACGGGACCACACCACAGGGCATAAAGCATCTACTCTCTGGTCCCTGGCACAAAGTCGGCCAGCCCTGGCTCCATCTTAGCCTGATCTCAACCCCCACCCCCCATCCCTCCACCTTGGAGACAGCCTCTGTGATTCCAAAAAGTGCTGGCACTCCCACCATCTCTGGCTGCCTGGCTTATCTTCGGGACCTCCCAAACCCCTCACCCAAATCCCTACCTTATCTGAAAGCCCAACCTAGGTCAAATCCTCCACCTTCCCACCTATTATAAACAAGCTCCACGGGAAAGGACCTGGGTCACAGCGTTGAGTGCCTCTCTGAAGCCCCCACACAAGACACAAGACACAACTGGGAAAGGGGCTCTCTGCATCCTTTATCTCCTGGGCTCAGCGGCCCTCCAGGGCCCGGTCTCGGGCAATGACGGCCTCTTCAAACTTGATCATGAGCGTGGTGCCCTTGTGCCAGTGCGCCGTGACCTTGGCAGGGAAGCCGCTGTGTGTGAGTACGGCCTCCACGATGCCGGCCGTGAAGCTGGCGCAGTTGAGCGTGCTGTTCTCCTTGGGCACCGAGATGTAGGTGTTGATGAGAGGCTCCCGCTCGATGATGTAGAAGGTGCGCGCGTCGTCATTGGCCTGCTCCAGCTTGTCAGCCTCCTTGCCAAAGAGCGCCTTCCACACGGCCCCCTTGACGAAGAGTAGCGCACCCAGCACCTTGGTCTCCCGCCGGGACCCCTTTTCCCGAGCCACCAGTGCGTCGAGGACGCGCGCGCCCACCTGGCGGCCCAAGGCGGCCAGGCGGGCCTGCAGCTCAGCCACCGAGAAGACGCGGCTCTGGCAGTGCTGCACCAGTTCGGAAAAGAGCAGCGCGAAGGCGCTCAGGCTCACTTCAGTGCGCGGCCGCGCCAGTGCGCGCTCCAGCAATGCAGACTTCCCGCGCGTGAAGCGCGCCTCCATGCCGCTGCGGCCCTGTAGGGAGACCACGGAACACCGTGTCAGGGACGATGGGAAGGGGGACCTGGCGGGGAGGGCTGGGGGAAACGCGGGGACCACCCACCCCACCTRTCCGCATCAGAGTGGCACGCTGCAACACTGACCACCTTCGGGAACTTTCCTGCCTCACCCCTAGGCAAGATAAAATACACGGGGAGGGAGGAAAGGGCTGTATCCAGCCCAAAGGCCTAGAGGGACGGGGGCAGGTGAGATCCCTGGGTCGAGMCAGGAGGATGAAGGAAAGCCCCATTCCAGTCCCACACCCTTCGGCAGCTCCGACTGTCGGCTGGGAAGCCTGGCTGCACGGTCACCTGGGTGGGCCTGGGTGGTTTAGTCTGGTGGGGGTCCCTCACCCTGGAAAGGCGGCTGGTGGAGGGACACTAGAGGGAGGGACGCGCTGTCAGAGCCGAGCTCGGGGCAGCCAGAAGAGGGCGCCGGCATCCTCCCGCCGCAGCGCACTAAGCCACAGCTGCCGGGGGTGCAAGGGGGAAGTGGGGCGAGGGGGCGCCGAGAAGCCCTCCCTCTCCACCCTCTCCATCCGGGGGTGAGGGTGCCGCCACCGGGGTTCAGAAGGGAAGCGGAGAATCCCGCCCCCACCATGMAGAGCCCCGGCCAGAAGCTGGAGTGGCCGGGGATGCCGAGACGGCGCCTACGAGCTCGCGCGAGGTGGCAGCGGGAGCGTCGAGCCCCGGCCCAGGCGGCGGAGGGGGGTGCGCAGCRCTGCGGGGAGGGGCCCACCCAGCGCGCGACCCCCGGGGTGGGCCAAAGCGGGCGAGCCCGGGAACACGGACGCTGATACCCCGGCACTGGACGCACAGACCCGTGGGCAGGGGTCGGGGAGCGGTCGAGGCTTGGCGCGGGCAGGGGTCGCGGGCAGACGGGCAGGATCTCACCGGGAACTGAGGCCGTCGGTTCGGCCACACTTCTTTACGATGCCGTAAAAGACGCTGCGTGCGCAGGCGCGCGGGGGGCCGGGCGTGTGGGCGGGGCGCGCGCGGCGTTACCCGAGAATGGCCGCTGGAGGGCGCGCGTATCCACCGGGCCAGCGGCTGAGTATCCAGCCGSGCTAGGGAGCCGCCTGGCTGGCTTTGGTGGGCCCATGAGCTGGACGACAGTAGTACATGTGGTCTCCTGCTCAGGAGCACAGGTACCACRATGAGCACACGTCTCTTGCCTCTGGAGCATGCATGCCCTTGAGCACATGTTCTCTTCTATCAATTAAAGGCATAAGTGGTGGGGTAGAGCGATCAGGGACAGGTATACTCATAGGTACTGCTGAGTGGCACCAATACTTTATGGGCACAATTACACGCATGGATCTTAGGGACATATTGTATATCTCAGGCTGCATGCATTTAGGGGCACATGTGTGCCCATGGGCACACACTCTGGGGCATAGGGACTCAGTTACACCCTGAGTACACATTCAGGAACTCCCAGGGACCTACACAAAGTATATATTCTTGCTGACTCCTCCCCGCCCTGGTTCCCCACATCATATCCATGCTCTGTGTGACTGACTCGCCCCACCCCCAGGCCCAAGCACTTTCTCCCAGAGTTCCCAAGTCCCAGAGTCATGCCAATAACAAGGCCAAGAACCACATTGTTTCCCCCTGACTTTTACCTTCATGAATCACAAAGCCTGAATGCAGAAATAAGTGGCCACATGCACATCTGTGCTCTGAACACACAGGGTGACAAAACCCAGCACATGCAGAATGACACAGCCTGTTCACGCTGGCACACGACACCCACATCTACAGCTGTGTGCTCCCACCTCACCATGACAGGAATACACACGGCGCAGCACAGTGCACTCATGTTCATGCAGTGAGAGGAGCATCACCTGTCACCACCACCCACATCCACAATGGCATACTTTGGGGATATTTGATGGCTGGGACATGCCTATACTCACGTCATGCCACTTATATATGTGTGCTGTATGTAGAGTGATGTAGGCATACACATCACATTTGCTCTGACCCCCACATTCACATTCACCCATAATACCTTCCTGTGGGAGACACAGAAACTCCCATGCTTCCCCAAATGCTATATTCTCTCTCTCTCTCTCTCTCTCTCTCTCTCTCTCTCTCTCTCTCTCTCTCTTTCTCACACACACACACACACACACACAGTCATGCAACTCTGAAACACAGTCATGATGACATTCGATTTTCTATACGTGGGACAAGGGGGAGGCTGACAGTGCATTTTTCATCTTGATGGCAGCTGCAATCCTGTCCTCCAGGCTGTGGCTGCAATGTCCTATTCATTGAGGTGTAGACTCTGAGGGAGGGGAGAGACCCARGGTCAGGCAGACCAGCCCCCTGAGAGAGACACTGAGGCCAGGCCCAGGCTCCTCTGACCCTGTCCCTGGGCCCCGGCTTACGTGTGCTCATCTTCTTCCCCAGCTCCTCCAGGATCCTCTGTGTGTTTTTATTGATTTGGGTTATTTCTGGTGGGAGGGAAGGAGAGACTGATGAGGCTGGGGTGGGGCCTCCATTGGAGGCCCCTCCCTGCAGGCCTCCAGCCTGGAGTGCAGCAAACCCAAGCAACTCAAAGCCATCATCCATCACCCCTTCCAAATCCTAGGCTTTGGGAGGTCAGGAGCCCAGCCGTCTCCTCCCCCCCACCCCCCCGGCCGAGGCCCCAGCACCCAGCCTGGTGCTGAGCATTGAAACAAATTCACCCAACAAAGGGTGGGTCTTGGAGGTACCTGCTGCCACTGTCKTAAGTTTTTCATTTCCACTTTGGACCTTGCTCTTGATCTCACTGATGCCCTTCATGACCTCCCCAGAGTTCTGCAGGATGGCTCTCCAATGCGTCCTCTGCTCCTCCTGGCCCTCCTGAGCCGCGTTCGTGGCTATGGGCATGGGTTGGCAGGGTGACCACCCGATCTCCACACCACCCTGTGGGTCTCCCCGTGGGGCCCCCGACTCACCATTCCAAAGCTCCCTTTTCAAGCTCAGCAGCTCCCTAGACATCTCCGAATCTGTTCAGGAAAGGGCAGGGGAAACCTGGAAGCTGCGTGGGTCAGCCCTCCTGGGAGCGGGGCTGGGGAAAAGGGAGGGGAGCTGGGATCGGGAGGGAGTAAGGTGGACACACTCGGACCTCCCCGCCCCTCCCCCCAAGAACTCTCACTTTTCAGCAGCATCAAGATGGAGAGGGTGATGAAGAACAGAAAGGTCAGGGCGAGAAGGACAAACAGGCTCATGATGGCTCTGTGCAACCAAGCAGGGACCTGGGCAGGGTCCGAGGATGGCCTGGGCTGGGCTGAGACTGAGACAGAGAGGCAGGCCGGTGACCCCCAGCCCCCCCCCTCCCCCCCGCCAAGCAGACCTGGCTCTGTCTCTGACACCATGTTCGGCTTGCTCTTAATACCACTGCAGCTGTGACGTCAGCAGCGTCCATGGTCACTATCAACAAGCTGCCACAACAGCCCCCTGACCCACACCACCAGYGATCGTTTCCAGCACGTCGCCGTCACACACCCCCTTACAGACCTTACCCAGTGCCACCAACACCCGCCAGCATGGATGCCATCAGATGTGCCATCACCATTACCACCTGCAAAGCCACCTCCACGGCCACCATCCCAGTCCTTGATACCACCACACTCCACACCGTTCACCTCCTCGAAGCAGCCCCTTGTCCCTTGTGCCCTCCCACATTCCCCTTCCTGAGGTTGGGRGCCTGGGCGGTCAGGCCTGGCTCACCTTGATTCACGGGTGCTAGATGACTGCCCCTTGGCTGGTCCCGGTTTCTGAAGGTCAAGGTAATATTCTCATAGTCAGGGTCATGGGCATCTGTGGAAGATTTGGTGGGAGAGGTTATGGAGACCTACAGAGAACCCAGAGGCAGGGAAGGGGACAGGGAGACCCTGGTGCACGCGGTCCCTGAACACAGCAAGTTTTCAGGGGCAAAAAAAAGGAGTGAGAGACTAAAGTCTGCTTTGTGGTTAAGCAGAGCAGGTGACCGTGCATCTTGGCGGAGGAGGACCCCTCCAGCCCCCACCTGGGCCCCTTCTCTCTCCTCTCTCAACCCTCCTTCTTGACCGCCCCCGGCCCACGCCCAGGTTCCTGACCTTTGTGATCGCCCTTGTTCCCCCCTTTCTTGTCTCTGAAGGCTGCTGCCTGCATCTTGAAGTGCTGGTTATGTAGATTTCAGGGTGCTTGGTCCCTGGCCTGCTCGAGTGTCCACACATCCACACCCACCGGAAAGTGTTGGGGAGATGAGGAAATYTGGGGGCAGAAGAGGAAGAAAGGGGTTTGCCTTCTGGTTTTCAGAGATCCATGATCCTCTCATCTTGGTGCATCCCTGCCCCTCAGATTAAGGAGGTCAGACGTCTCAGGGGTGGCCAAGAAGAGGAACCCTTTGGCCCAGAGACGGAATTGGCATGTTACAGGCAGTGAGGAGAGAAGGAGAGAGGGCGGGAGAGAGCCTACCAGGAGGGACTTTCCCCTCCTCCCTCCTCTGTCTCCTGTCTGTAGAAGAGCTGGGCCACCTTAGAGCCCCATCTGCTAGGGCAAAGGCTGTCGGGCTTGGAGGTGGGCTTCCTGGGTCCCCTCACACCTTCCTCCCCCGGAGTCCACTCCTACTTCTCAGCTCTACCCTACCCCAAGACCCTGTGGCGGACAGGAACAGAGTTGAGGTCATGAGRGCACCATGGGGACTCATACCCACCRCTGGCCCCGGGGTCAGAGCACACCCCAGCCCCTGCTTGGACAGACCCTGGGGGTACACTTTCCCTCCCCCTGGAGACCCCAGTGGGGTCTTTTTCTTTTGTTTTCCTGTTTTTGTTTTGTTTTTTTCTCCAGGGCAGGGGATCAAGCCCAGAGCCTCATGCATGCCCAGCAGCTCTGTACCACTGAGCCACCCCCAAGCCCATTTTCAGCTCCCTCCCAGCCACACAGTACAAACATGGACACGCACCTCCATTTTTTTTTTTTATCCTGAGGATTGAAGCCAGGGACACTCCACCCCTGAGCTACATCTCCAGCCCTTTTTAACTTTTGAGACAGGGTCTCACTAATTTGCTGAGACTGCCCTTGAACCTGCAATCCTCCTGCCTCGGCCTCCCAAGTTGCTGGGATAACAGGCAYGCGACCGGCYACACACACCTCCAAGTACACACCCYGCAGCCACCTGTCTGCTCCTGGAGGCTCATCACAGCTCAGCTGCGGTCATTCTTCTTGTACACGTGCCACCAGAGAAACACGAACTGCGCTCTGTCTAGAAGGTACCTGAACATCCTTTTGTGTTTCTCTGACCTGGAAAATGAGGACTATAAAAGGTRCAGAGTATTTAAAGAACTTTTGCCCAAGTCTAGAGCTGTGTCTCCAATTGATATATGTGAGCCACGTGTTTAGTTAATGATTGTTATTACTGTCGCAGTGCTGAAGATAGAACCCAGGGCCTTGCACAGGCTAAGTAGGTGCTCTGCCACTGGGCTACACCCCCAAACCCACACGTTTAATTTAAAATTTTTTAGCACCTACATTTATAAAAAGCACCTCATAAGCTAAATACCTTTTTTTTTTTTTTTTTTTTTTTTTTTTGCAGCGGGAATGGAACCCAGGGTCTTACACATGTTCATCAAATGCTGTGCCACCGAGCTACACACCCAGCCTCGTCATGTCTATCAGTGGGGAGCCGGTGCCGGGCATCAAACCCAGGGCCTCCCACATGCTAACCCACTCTACCACTAAGCCACACCCTCAGCCCTAAATTGACTTCAATATTATTTTTATTTAGCGTAAGATACCAAACTACTATTTCAGCATGTAGGTGATATTTTAAATTTATTAACAAAGCTGGGCATAGCGTGCTCCTGTAGTCCCAGCTACTCAGGGCTGAGGCAGGGGGATTGCTTGAGCCCAGGAGTTCAAGGCCGGCCTGGCCACATAGCCATCTGAACTTGAACTCCTGGGC